GCTCTCATGGGTAAGTCAGTGGCAGAACTGGGATTTGAACCTAGGTTCTTTGACTCCAAATCTAGCACTTTCCACAGCTCTGAACCTGCCAACAGCCCTCAAAGGAATCACAGAACTGTAGGATTTAGAGCTGCAAGAGATCTGAGAGATCATTGAGTCTAGCCCTCCCTCTCATTTTTGTAGCACTCCATAAAGGATCAAGAGACTGGCCTAAGTTCAATAGCCAGTAAATAGCAGAGGGGATTCAAAGGAGGACTTCCAAATTCACTTCTCTAATACAGCAGGCTGCCCTATGAAAGGTCTATCTGACTCTAAATGAAAGTGTGGAAACAACATGGCTTATACCACAGCATGTAGAGCTTCAAGTAGATCTTACATTAGGTCAGTAGCATCTCCTTTGTTGTCATTTAACTCACATCTGACTCTTTCTGACTCCATTTGGGGTTTTCTTGGCAAAGATGCTGGAGTGGTTTGCCATTTCCTTCTCCAGTTCATTTACAGATGAAGGAACTGAGGCAAACAGTTAAGTGACTTGCCCAGGATCACACAGCCAGTGTCTGAGGCTGGATCTGAACTCAGGTCTTCCTGGCTCTAGGCCCAGCACTCAATCCACTGAGCCACCTAGCTGCCCAGGAATCTGCTTACTGTGTTTCAGTAAATACCATAGACACCTTCTCTAGGTCTTTTTTAGTCAAACACGTTGCACAGAGAGCTATGAGTACTCTGCATCCAGTAGGAGACTAATAAATGATTGAATCAATGACTAAGAGACAGCTGGCTGGTAATTGTCTGAAAAACGCTTGAATTTTGAAGCCAGGTAGGGACTACTGGTAGTAGATAGAGGAATCACCATGGCTCTTCATACATTAAAGCTTAAACCTCCATCAAAACTTCTGGGATACCCTGTATATTTGAGTTATTTGTGAATTCAGAAGCTCTGTTAATATCTGGCATTTTCCAAATGCTAATAGTTTACATTGTAGCTACAGAGAAATAAACAATCAGCAAATGGTATTTGGAAAAAAATTCTTTTGGACAATTCCATTACAAATAACACTAGCTTTTTTTCAGATCATCTGATAATGACAACAAAAGGCTACCTTAGGCAAGAAGGTCGACTGTTCCCCAAGTCTGACTAACTAACCCTCATTACCCAGGAGAAAAGAAATGCAATTTGTCATTTAACTCCACTCGTAAATCATTTCTACAACCTAAGTGATAGAGGCTTAAGAATTGTACAAAGATGTTGGTGGTGCTATGAACTGGTTCAGTCATTCTGGAAAGTAATTTAGAATTATACTCAAAAAACCGGAATCTGTGACTGCTGGGTCTATTCCCCAAAGAGACAGTTAGAGCTCATACATACAAAAAATATTCATAGCAGCTCTTTTTGTAGGAACTAGAAATTAAGGCGCTATGCCCATCCATAGAGGAATGGCTGAACAAATTAGGGTGTGTGAGTTGATACTGCACCCTAAGGAATGATGAGCGACCACTTCAGACAAACCTGGGAAGACATATGAACTGAGACAGGGTAAAGTGAGAAGAACCATAGAATCCAAAAGGCTATGTAATAACATTGTAAAGAAAAACAACCAAGAAAGACTTAAAAACTGTAACCAATGATTTGGCTAGCCACAATTTTCAGACCACCAAGAATGAAGCACCCTAACCACTTCCTGATAATGAGGTGATAAAATCAACACGCAGAGTGATATATATACCATTTTGGACATGACCAATGCATAGTTAATATAAGAGTTTTGTTTTTTCTTTTTTTCTAATTGTGGTGGAGGGGGAGGACTTAGGGAAGAGAGGGTCTAGAAAGAAGCTTACCAAATGGAAAAAAAAAAGCTAGTAAGAAAACAGAGCTACTCGGTCCTTTTTATGACAGCAAAGGATTGAAAACTAAGGGGATAGCCATAAACTGGGGTATGGGTGAAAAGTTGTGGCATATAAATATGCTGGTATACCATTGTGAAGGGGATGATTTCAAAGACACCCGGGAAAACTTATATGAAGTGATGTAAAGTGAAGTAAGTAGAACAATTTATACAGTAACAACAATCTTGTAAAGGCAAACAACTTTGAAAGACTTAGGAACTGATCAGCACAATGACCAACCACAATTCTGGAGGACCCGTGATGAAACATGCCTGTCCCCAGGGAGAGATATGATGGACACAGAGTGCCAATTGAGACATTTTAGATGTGATTATAGTGAGAACTGGTTTTGCTTGATTATACATATGTTTGTGATAAGTTAAAGAAAAAAGGAAACTGAAACATTTAAAATAAAGGCACAAAAGAGAAAGGTCAGTAGGAAACAGAGCCAAGAAGGACAACTTTGAAAATAACATGTTGAATTTATTTTTTACTTAGATGGAGAAGCAAACAATATGTGGTATACTTAGAAATGTATAAGCTTTCTTTCTGTTCTGCTTTGTATATAGAAACAATCTGGTTTTGGTGTTTAAGTTTAGAATAAAAAAAGACTCAAAAAAAAAATAAAAAGATCAATACAAAGAAGCCAAAAATCTTGGTATTTCGTCCAATCCTGTATATTTTAAAGAGTTAGGTCTATAGAAGTAGATGAAGACAATGGAAATAATTAAAACTTTTTAAAGAGTCATGTTAGACATTCCTTTGTACTTTTGCCATTTCATGACTATTATCTCCTGTGATACATCTCTAACTCTCTATCTCCATGGTCCAGATGATCAACATGGCATAAGGAAATACAGATAAGGAAACTGAGAAATGAGAGAGGTGAAGTGACCTGTCCAAGGTCACACAACAGAGTGTTCCACTTGACCAAGGTTGCACAGGTTGAGCAGTTGGCCGAGATCCAGGTCTCCTGTTTTCTAGTATTATAGTGTTTCTTTCTCCTATCCTACGGAGGAAGGGAGGGTGGTTAAGTTCCCTTCATAAACCAAAATACATTTTATGATTCATGTTTGATTCCTATTTATCTTCACAGGGAGTGCCGGAAGCAAGGGCAAACCATAAAGGAAAGGTTATACCATTTGTGTAATCTCTTGGAGCAGCTATGGGCAGACTGCTTTCTCTAGCATTCTTTAATTCTTTCTTGAATCACACCCTCAAATTTATTTCCCGTAGCCATAAGGCAGAAAGGTCTTTCCTCTTTCCACCTCCTCATTCCTACAGTAGAGCTTGGGCTTTTGCCAAAGGAAGAGTGTAGGTGGCCTTACAAACATGAGGCAGCAGCAGAATTACCAGGTGGCCAAAGGAGAAGGAAAGGGGAAGGGCAGGGACGTTCCAAGAAGCACAGATTTTACAGTCAGGCAGAGATGTGTTTTACTGGTATAAGCCCCAAGTTCCAGAGTCAGCTGGTCTACCATTGATTGCTACATGTGTGACTATGGGCAAGTTATCACCTCCCTCTCCCCTACCCCCCCAGCCAGCCTCAGTTTACTCTGAGTCTGTAAATAGAGGGCACTGACAACAATCCATGGGCAGATGAATCTTTCTATGAAATAGGTCAATTGGAAAGCAAAAGTCATTTCAAGGCCTTAAACACCAAGTTCATATTTGTGAAAATATTTTTTCACTATGTGTGGAGGAATGGCAGAACAGAATCTATTCTTAAACTTAACTAATTGTACCAAAAACTAAGAGAAATTTTTAAAAAATTTAATTAATTATATAACAACAGGGCTGGATGAAATCTTAGTCCTTCCTCCTTATTTTGTAGAAAAGGAAACTGCAGGAGAAGAGAAGGAAATAACAGGCCCAAGGTCACCCAGCAAATTAATAAGAGAGCCCAGACTAGTATCCAAGTCTCCCCGATTCCCAATGCAGGAAGACTGGGATTCCCAGTTCCTTTATTCTAAACCATCTTTCTCTCACTGGCAAACAATAATATCATACCCCTTTAGCTCTGAAAACAAGCCCTGTTATATTTGAATGGGTGTTTCTGTTATCTAGACAGGAGCAAGCTTCTTAGGGCTAATTAAAATCTCCTGATTAACCCAGGAAAGAAAATGCAAATACCCCATCCTAGGACAGCTCATCCCACTAACAATGTCAGACATCTAGGTGGAAAGAGTACAGAACCTGGAGTTAGGAAGACCAGAGTTCAAATCCTTCCTCAGACACAGCTGTGTGGTCCTGAGCAAATTCTCTTAGCCTCTCTCAACCTCAACTTCCCCATTTGTAAAATGGAGATAACAGGTTGTTGTGGGGATCAGATGAAACAACATACATAAAGCATTACATAAAATGCTATTTTTCTGTTTCTTTTATTATAAAGCCCCCAAATATAAGTATTTTTCCTGTTAGTCAACCCTAAATCAGCTAGTTCCCCTTCTCTCTCCTAACCTCCCAAAATGTAAAAAGGAAAACCAAAATCCTACTGGCAAATATGAAAAACAAATCCTCACATTGGCTGCGTGTATTAAAAAAAAATGCTTCTCATTCTGGGCCTTCAGTCTATTGATTCTCTAGAAGAAACTTTTAAATACCATCTTGTTCAATTCTTCTCATTTTTCAGAAAACAGAATGCAGATCCAGAGAAAGGAATTTTCCCAAGATGATAGCTGTTGTCAGTGGCAACACCAGGGCTAGGAAAAGGGTCTCCAGCCTTCCAGTTCAGGTTTTTTTCCATTATAGCAGGCTGCCTCTGTAAGTCAGGAAACAGCCCACCCCTCTCATGGACTTCCATCTTGCCCCTGACTAGAAAGCAGCCTGATTCTAGTAGTTTCCCCATGTAGATCAGTGCCTGCTTCATAATAAGCATTAAAATGTTTGTCGACTATATTACTCAAGTCTACTTCTCACTCCATCTTAATTGTGTTCTGGATGCCGTGGTCCCAGCTCCAACAACAGGAGACAGGATGAATGTTGTGTGGCCTGCTCAATGGAGACAAAACTGGTTTCAGCGATCCCAAAGAGCAGGGTGAGATGGAAATCTGCAAAGAAAATGATACTAGACAAATAACCAGAGCTGAACAGAAAGTGATGACACCGAAGTCTCATTCTTGAATATGTATTTTTTTTTTACTGAAAAAATCATTCATAAATTAATAACATACAAAAATGTACAAACACATGAGTAATTAAGATAATGACAAAGGACTACTTTTGTGAAAAGTGTGTGGTCTGCTTTTTTTTTTAAAACATCTTTAGAGTTCAGTGCAAAAATGTACCCCTGGCACCTCTTAAAAACATAAAGGACAAGTTCAAAAAACCTAGTGATGGACAAAAGTGACCTACATTTTGATGCCATCTGAAATGGTGACTACAGATAAGCCACATTTGGAGTTCCTGCTCAGCTGCAATCAGTAGAAGAACCTTTGGCAAGGATTCTAAACCAATTCAGAACCAAATAGTTTTTAGCCAATTGAAACCCCATATAAATCTGTAATGGGGCAAAGCTTGGGTAGGTTGGGGTAGAGAAGTGACTTCCATTTTTCATCTATGCTCTCCTCTTCAGTGTCCTGAAGGAGGGGCTCACCATCGACCATGTAGAATTCCAGCTGCCAAAACTCTATGAGATGGTGTTGGCTGGCTGTTTGCATTTTTAAAATGAGCCCTTCTTTTACACCATTAACAAAACATGCACTTGCCTGTATGTTTTTGTTTGTCTTTTGTTTTTTTTTTAACAATCACATTCATTCTTACTACATTTGACTTATGGGATAAATGACTAAACAGTGCAACATTAAGAGATTCCACCTTTACAAAAAAAAAAAAGAAAAAAGAAATCCGTGATTGCAAATGAATACAACTGATTCTATTTTATGCAATGAAACGGACCTTTTCAGGTTGTGTTTCGATCTGTTCCTTCAACCCCTCCCCTCAATCAGGTGAAACTTTTGGGCCAATGTTGTCTTTCCCAGATGGTAAATATTCTCAAAAAAGAGCTTTGTTACTAATAGAAATTAGTTTAAAATCTTGGCATATACACATACATCACCCACCACATAGAGGATATTTAAGTTAAAAAGCTGAAGAGCAAATCAATCCAAAATATCCTGACCATCGCATTAGATACAGTGCTTACACTTCCAGGACTAAAGAGGGAGAATGTAGGGTCAATTTGAAAAGGGTCTTTGAATTTCTTGAGGGGAAGGGGTGGAAGGGAAGGGAACAAAATCAAATCTTTATTGCTATATGCTCTATGAACAAAAATCCTGTGTATAATGTTCCCTCATAAAGTTGTTGTAAAGCACGTGTGTTCAAAATACTTTTAAAAAACATGACAGCTTACCAGCTTTCTCAAGAACAGTTTCCTGCACTCTCATACAAGCTGATAAGTATGACAAGCTATAATACCACATTTTCTAGATACCAATTGAGTCCCCAAGAGACAAAGAAACAAATACAACCAAACTTGGCCAATCACACCCACACTCCACGGGTGTGGGGATCATATGTCCATGGAACCAAACACATGCAACAATGGAAAAAAAGAATTCCCACCTACATACATACTTAGGTAAACCATGAAAGCTATGGAAGTATAAAGCAAACTAAGGCAAATGAAGAAAAAGGAAAACATGAAGTACTCTTCAGAGAGGATTTCTAATTATAATATGTAAATATATGTTATGTTAAAAAAAAATAAATCTGGTGCTTTCCAGCACAGACATTTTGGGAGATTTTTTTCAGGTCCTATAGAAATCAGTGAGTTGTACACAAAGAAAATTTAAGCGGCGTCAACCAAAATGCAATTTGGAATCAGGTCTCAAAAAACAGGAGATAGGAAGAGAGTACTTCATTCTCATACTTCAAAAGCTTTCTCTGACTGTTGGTCAATATTCTCCTTTTAGCTGTGCTTTGCTCACTGACATATTTGTGTTATCCACTCCCTGGCTGAATTTTAAAGACTTCAAATGTTTGTTAATGATAAAATAACCAAAACAACTCTTCTGAAAAGAAAAAAGAGCAAAGTGAGGAGGAACCACTGAAGCCATTGGTAATTTAGGAATAAACTAGAATGACTAGTTGATTTCCGGGGACCCCAAATTCCTCAATAGAGCAAAGATGGGGAATAGTGTCAAAGACAGTCTGGGGCACATGCACAAGTTTTTGTGAGGGATCTGGCTCTGGGCAGGCACAGTCATGTTTCACACCCTCCACGGGCGGGAGAAGTGATTAAGAAAAAGGGGCCAGAATAAGAGTCAACACGAAAAGTCAGGGCCAGGAAGGGGAAATAGAGGAGACATCAGCTACAAAAGATATGAAACAGACAAATCAGATATTTTGTTCCTTTTTGAAAGGTCTCCCCAAAGAGCCAGAATTTCAGTGATAAAAGATACACTGCAACTACATTTAAACTAAGCCTGGCACCTGTCAACTAAATAAGTGATTGAATAGGTAAACTCTCTGCTTGAATCTGAGTCAACAGTAAAATTAAATTAAAAAAAAAGAAGAGGCAATTTACACAGCTTATTTACACTTTCGCTTCTTCAAGAAGCGATAGTTATATATCTCTATGTACCCCCCCCCAAGTAATTAAAAAACAAAACAAAAACACCACAAATGTAGCAGGATGGATGAGGAGTGGTTCATTTGCTCTTCCATAAAGGCAGCTGCCCTTGTAGTGGGATTGGTTCTTTGCCTCCAAAAGCAAAGAAGATGAAGACGTCATTCAGAAGAACAAGCTCCGTGGCAGGACATCAGCCATGTCTGATCACAGTTCTGGTCCTGGAGATTGTGGCTGAGACAGGACATAGGGAATGGAGAGGTGGAGAGAAGAGCAGCAGGACAGACCACCATCATTGGAAAAGAGAAAGCAAGTCCTGATGAGTGAGGCTCCCAAACTTGCTACACAATCACACTGGGCCTGGACAGCGAAGACATTTTGTGCGTGCATTTTGCAATAGTATTCTTCAAACCCTGTGATCCTTCATTAGCCCATGTATTCCTGTTTTCTTCCCGTGCAGATTCACAAAATATCTCACCAGGTTGTCTTGGTAATGGGTGAAACAAACTTATCTTCTCTCCTCTTAATATTCATTCACCTGAGCCAGCTCTGGTGTCAAGTTTACAGTTATATTTTTATACAAGGCGTCATATGTGATGTTTGCAAAGTAGTTCAAGTTATTGAGGCCATCCAGAGCTTGTCTTTCCTTTGACTTCCTCAATAACGCATACCTGTTCAAGGACGAAACACCAACATGCTCAGCTCTAAAGTTAGGTCTAATACCTCTCTCTACATATGCATATGTCACTGGGGAAGGGGAATGGAGAAGACAGTAGAACATGTGACAGAAAACTCAGGAAAGGGATCCAAACGAGGGTACTATTTCAGTTTCTTTTGAAGATACCATAATGATTCTAACCAATGAGATTTGTAAAATGGTGTTCATAATGATAATCATCTGTCTGGGTTGGTCCAGAAAAGAGAGACAAAGAAAAACACAATACTCACACTTGCTGTGGGCCAGCAAAAGCTAAGCTACCAGTAGGGAGGAAGGCAATAACAAGGACACCAGAAGATCACGAAGACCGAAAGCATGGAGACTTGTGATATATATATATATGCCTTGTTATGGGGCAGGGTGAGGTATGGAAAAATCTTCATTTTAGATGAACCTTGATAAATTCTCAAAAGATTATGGAACAGATGGCAAAACATAAAATGGAATTACTATCTTCCTTCAAAGATTTCACTCTCAAATTTCATTGACAGTCAGGCATTCATGGCAGCCTTCTACTTAAAAAAAATGTAGGTAGAATTAGAGTATTGTGGGGCAGCTGTCATTAAATAGATCTTAGATGCAGAAGTGAATTGAGGCCGTTAGAGATGAATAGTATTGAGGATATCTTTGTGATGAACAAAGAAATTACACTTACCTCCCAAGAAACTGCACTTCTCCTCGATGGTGGTGAGGGATAGATTTATACTTCCCAGTGTCGCCTTCTGGCCGGCTCACTGAGTAGCCTGCATTCTGTACTCTGAAAAGACAAAGAGGACTGGATTTTAGACTACAGTAGAGATTTTGGAGAGAATGGGGAAAGAGAGGAAAGAAAAGAAAGAGGGAGAGGAAGAGGGGAAGAGACACAGAAAAAGAGAAGAGAGCTTTTAACAGAGTTCAAATCATCGTTAAGTGGATAAAAAAGTCCCCCTGTCTATTTTAACTTTGACCAATTGAAGGTTTACAGTTCTGTAAATCCCAAAGAAACTCAAAATCCCTGGCACGGGACTTTAATTCATGGCTAATGACCACTCATCAGCATGAAAGGAACAATAAACAGGTATCTATAATAAGTAACATAGCACGTCTTATCCTTGATGTATTGATTAGGCTAACACAAAGATTTCCCAATGATTTTTATTTTATTTTATTTTATTTTTTAGGCAATTGGGGTTAAGTGACTTGCCCAGGGTCACACAGCTAGTAAGTGTCAAGTGTTTGGTCTGAGGCCGGATTTGAACTCAGGTCCTCCTGACTTTGGGGCCGGTGCTCTATCCACTGCGCCACCTAGCTGCCCCCCCAATGATTTTTATGACATCCAGCTCCCAGCTAGAGGACATGCCTCCAGAACTCCCTAGAGAATGATTGATCCTTCCCATGTGGGTGTCTATTTCTAAGGATCTTGGTAACATGAAGACTTTTACTCTTTTGCTGGGATGAATCAATCAACCTTTATGGCACTGCACAGTTTCCTAGAATTTAGAGTTGGAAGGGACTTCTCAATCTTAGATAATAAACTTCCCTGGCCTGAGCCAGCCTGATTCTGAGTTGCAGAATCAAACATAAACAGCCATTCACAAACTCACAAGATAAATGATCTAGCAGATAATATTAGCAGCTTATGTTTATATGGGGTTTCACAATTTACAAAGTGAATTCCTAATAGTCCTATGAGCTAATTAATAAGTTTTTAATAAGCTTAAAATGAGTTACCCATTTTACAAGTAAGGAAGAGGTAGTGTGACATAGTGGATATAGTTCTGAGTTAGAGACAGGAAAACCTGGGTTCAAATTCTCTCTCTTAAAACCTCTAAAGTATCTCAAGTACTTTCCCAAGAAAAATCTGCAAGGCTATTGCTTTGTGTTTTCACTTTAGGGAGTTCCCTAAGCTAATGAAATAATATATTTATTTGTATACAGATAAGGAAACCAAGCTTAGAGAGATTAAATGACTTGCCCAGGGATATATACAGAAAGGAATAAAAAAATTAAAAGCCAGCATTTGAACCTAGGTCTCTTGATGTCCAGCATTCTCCTCACACCACACTGCCTCCTCTGGGTCATTAGGTATAATGTAAGGATGCTTAAGGTAAACATTTAATCTTTTGTAGTATAGCCACCTGATGAGCTGGTTTATATAAAGCCCTAGATTGCCACCAAAGCTTACTGTCTATGCATAAGTGCCTTAGTTCATCTTATGAAATAAATGAATTTTTTTCACTTTACATCTCTCATGCATTTTCCATATATCATTCTATATTACAGATATCTGTGTTAAGGTCCACACTGTGAGCTCCATGAGGGCAGGTACATTATTTACACTTTATACTTCTCCCAATGCTGAGTGCAAGAGAAATAAAAACAGGTGTCTAAGGATATACATTTGCCACTTTTTGGTAGAAACAAAATATTTCCAAAGCTCTGTATCCAAAGAGGTAAATAATCACTTAGCCAGAGACAGGGAGCTAGATTGCAAGGCCCATATAATTGAACAAGACAGGGATCTTTGACAGTCATGAAAAGAAATAATACCTGTTCCAGAGGTCATCATCTTCTCCACCCCAGCCCCAGAATGCATTAGGAAAGCCATTAATTTTCTGAAACTGCTCTACCGTTAAGCCGCTCACTCCACCAAAAAACTCATTATAAGGAAGCCTACAAGAGAAATCATACCATTAATCATATGTATTTTTATTTAATCAGTTACTTTCTTCCACAGCAGGAATGTTCTCAGGTATCCATCTGGTTCCAACGACAACAATATTTCTTGGGCTGCTCTCTTGAGCTACATAGTGAGGGGCCATGTCAAGTTTTCTCTTATGCCACCTGTTACCTTCTTTCTTCCCCAGAACTCTTCCTATTAAACTAAGAGAAAGTTTGATACCATGTGGTTACTGTTGACTCTCGGTTTCTTCCCCAATCCTGCCAAACAGCCAGTTACCAAGTTCCTAGTGATCCCATCTCCACAATATTGTTCATATTTATTCTCTCTTTTCTCCATTCTCAATGCTGCCGCTACCACCCTAACCTAAGTTCTTATTACCCCCTGCCTAGATTATTGCAATAGCCTCTGAACGGGTCATCCTGGTTCCAAACCATCCTTCACACTGCTGCCAACAGCGTCATCACTCCACTGCTCAAAAGCCTATCACATCTAGAGTAAAGTAAAAGGACCTTTCTTGGCAGTCAGGAGCTTCTATAATAAAAATACTAGCCTTATTTTCATATAACCACCTCAAAAGCACTCTACATGCCATCCAAAATCAGACTACTCTGATTTTTTCCTCTGAACATCTCCTACACCCTCTGCTCACACTGTTCCTGTGTCATGCCCTCCCCATGTATCTTCCATCCTTTGAAAACTGACTCAAATGCCAACTCCTTCATGAAACCTTTCCTCATCCTCCACTGGTAACAACCTTTAACCTTGGATCTAACAAAAAACGTGGTCCTTCTAATGTATTTTCTACGTGTTGTTGTATATTACGGTCATATGTATTTGTGCCTAATTGTGACCTCCATTAGGGCAGGAATCAGATCTGAATTATCACTTGTGGAATTCTCCCCTCCCTTCACTGCTAAGCACGGTAGGTGTATTTAAACGGATACTCACAGATACATATATTTATCCAGCTTGGTTGCAAAGTGCCTTGGCATCTGCCCACATCCATAATAGTTACGATCATTTTCTGGTATATGATCCACATCGTGAAAAATCAAACAATCCCAATTCAAGTCTCTCATTGCTTCACGAAAGCCAACATTAAAAAGCATGGCACGATTGAAGGGTTGAGTACCAGCCTGTGAAATAAAGTTTTATTTTTCAGCGGACTCTCAAAACACACACTACTGCCTCAGTTTTGTACAAGGAAAAGCATGCCACAGTATAAGCTCTGGCTCTGGTCTTGTTGCTCCCCGACTTATTACTGGGTCACCAAGGACAAGTCACTTGACTTAAGTTCCTCAATTTTCTAAGGCACAAATTAAGGACAACAGCACCTGTTCTACCTACCTCACAAGGCTACTGCAAAAATCAAATGATGTGATGGGCAAATATTTTGAAAAGTACAGAATACTATACAAACATGAATTACAACTATTATTTATGCTCCACATGGGTCATGCTTCCACTTTATCCCCTAATTATCATATGACACTTTGGCATTCATTTTCTTCAGGATAAGTCTAATGGGAGAGGATGGGTATAAGAGGGCAGAGCACTACAAATGGGAGCCCTGACCTGCAAGAGTTTCCTTCACCCCTTTTCACAAGAAAACCTGTGAAAGTCATCAACAAAAATGGTAAGTTTTATGCCTCAACAGCACAGAGAAAGAGCCTTAACTGAAAAGGGGAAGATAGTTTTGCTTAATAAATGGCTAATAGTGAAGGTATGAATTTCTTCTGATTGCTTCTTTCTTCAAGATGTCTCCAATGTTAGCACCACCTATTACATGAGTCAGGGAGCTACCATGTAGATCCAGGGTAGGTTGAGGTCACTTTGCCATTAAGCAGACTGACCTGAAACTCAGTTGAGCGCCATTTGAACAAGGAAAATATGTATAAGGAAGCAGGAGGTTTCCTAGTCCCAGGGAACCTCCTTTTGGGACCAACCTGGGGGTCACTGAGTATATTTTATGGAAGACAGAGGGGAGCTGTGCTCATTTATGCTTCTTCTTAGTCAAGTAAGTGTTTATCTGAAGCTCCCAGTGGTTTACTACATAGACCTTGAACATCTCCTAAGATACATGTAAACCTTTCATTCCATTTACAGATTCCAGAATACTAAATTACCTTAGAGATGGAGTCTAAGGGCTTCATTTTACAGATGAAAAAAATGAGGCCCAGAGAGAAGAGGCTTGTTTAAGGTCCCAAAGCTACATCTAGAACCAGTTCACCTGACTCTGACCACACTCCCATAATCTTAAAGCAGCTTCCAGAAATATGTACTTAGACACACAGTCCTTAGCCCAAACATCACACAAGAATCCTTTGTTCCTGGGTCAGAGTTTCATGATGCTAGGTGAACAAAGCATCTGTCTCCTACTCAGAGATTTACAATCATCAATGAGCAACAGAAACCAGTTAGAGCTATGGAACTTCTTGCTTCCCCCAGCACTCCTGTGACTGTTCAATGGTAAGGCTCAGGTTCTCTTACCTCTTCACCTGGGGGAAGAGAGTGGCACAGTCTACTAACAAAAGCAGAACCCACTTACTTGTTCAATAACATAGAATGCAAACTGCAGACGCTGGCGTTGTAGCATAGGAATCAAGTGCCGGAAAAGAACAGGGAGATGCTCATAACGGTTTCGGAATGGAATAAGGATTGCCACCTATAAAGAGACCGAGATAGGAGCCCACACAGTTAATCCACAACTCATTTGCCAGTTCTGCTTGGAAAAAGGGTGGGAATCAGTGACCTGACCATAGTATGGCTTAACTCAATTCAAACATTTACGAAGGGTCTACTCCACAGTTGGTGCTAGAGATATGAAAATGGAAATAAGACAAGTTCCTGACTCTATGAAGCTGATAAACTTAAAAAACAAACAAACAAAAAAAAAGATAGGGGGAGGGGAGGGAGAAGGAGTTAGAGGTACACAAATAAGTATGATGCAAAGTGCATGGTGATAAGCATAAACATCCAAAGTGTTTTATAAAATTTAAAGGAGAAAGAAGGGCTAATTTTTTTGTTTTGTTTTGTTTTTGGTGAGACAATTGGGGTTAAGTGATTTGCCCAGGGTCACACAGCTAGTTAAATGTCAGGTGTCTGAGGCTGGATTTGATCTCAAGTCCTCCTGACTCCAGGGCCTGTGCTCTATTGACTGCATCACCTAGCTGCCCAGAAAGGCTAATTTTTAATCTGGTGAAAGGCAAGGGGAAATTGGCCTGGGTATAAAAGGAGGATCCAAGGTATTTTATAAAATTTATAGCTGAAGGGAAAGGATAATTTTTATCTGGTGAAAGGCCGGAGAAAGAAGAGAAGAAGAGGTGATCCCTGAGATAGAACTTGAACTTTTTCTAGACTTTAAGTTTCAATACTGGTAAATCAGCTTCACACCTTAAACTGATTTCACTCTAGATACGACCCAGCTTAGTACAATCTTGTCCTCTAAGTTTCTAGTACTATCCACCAGCCATTTCTTTGTCTAGGTTAAAACAATATACCAATTTTTCTCTGGCACCTTTCTTGCAACCAGTGACTAGGACCGGAACACAGAGTCCCACCATCAAACTGACAATTATCCTTTCTAAAAATGATGGGGAAAAAAATGCCAAAATTTTAGTGCAAAGTTACCAAACAAATTTCTGTTTGTGAACAAGACGCATCTGCTTACTGTTCTTCAGACTACATATAGCTTTCCCATTACTAGCACCCTGTTTGAAAGAGGTGACCATCGTAACAATCCCTGAATCTCTGGGAAGAAACCAAAAGACTACTGAGCGTAGGGCATAAGGTCTACTTACCTTATAATAAGGTCTATTATATAAGGTATATTACCTTTTCTTACACCCAGTAAGGCAAAGTCTAAGCAAGTCAAATTTCTTTGTGAGCAAGGGTCACTGGCCAAAAAATCCTCGCCCTAGAACTATCCTAACAAAACCATTAAATTTTTGTTCCTGGATCATTTGCAATTAAGTGAATTAACAAAAGTAGTTGTAGTTTGGTGTGGCAGGAAGTGCTGGACTTAGGAAAACTGAGTTCAAATTCCATCGGTGACATGTATCAACCATGTGAACATCTCTGAGTCAGTTTCAAAAATGAGGATAATAACACTCAGTACCTACTTCAAATAGTTATTGCAAGGAAAACATAACTTCAAAGCACCAAGAAATGAGAAATGTATTACTACTATCAGGAGTACTCATAAGTGAGACCCCTGGACTGGTTTACCTTCTGGTAAACTGGACTCTAGTTTACCTTCCAACGAGGCATGCAATCACTGGGCTTCCAATGACCTCCAAGTTTGATGGCAGGGTCTCTAGAGAAGAATTCGTGGATGTCATCCATTCTGACTTCACTCATGTTTATATCTATTGGGCCCTCTGAAGGTAGAAAAAGAAAAAACTGAGAATCCAGAAAATCCACATACTAGTCTGCTACTCTGCAGAGGTCCAAAAGTTTTCCAATAGCTTAGAAAATGCTGGAAATCCCATCCTTTGATTTTCAGCTCATCGTGTGTCAGCTTAACCTCTGGCTACATCTCCCACAGGGTCATGACTGAGACAAACCAATACAGCTGCTGAAAATGACTGCTCAATTCTCTTTCCTACAACCAGGCAACCAACTTTTCTCATTCATGGAGAGTTGCTAGGAACCCTACATAGAGTCATCCAATTAAGACCACTAGCAAAAGGCAGTAGGAAATAAAACAATAATCTAACAGCTGAAACAAAAGTCCTGCCTATTTAATACAGGACAAAGTTATACTCCAAAAGAAAGTGCAGGTGCAGAATTTCTGGTGTCATACTCCAGTGAGTCCTGAGCTCAAGGCACCAAGAATCATGTCCAGGTTTACTATATTAGTTTTTTGTGTGGAAAAAGCAGGGTTATCGGGCAAACTGGAAAAAGACTGAAGACTACAATACATATTGATTCTAGCACTCAAGCTGTCTATGAAATCAAGAACCTCCCCACTGTGGAAAATGTGATTGGGGATGTTGCTTCTGCACATCACTCAATCAGGGGTTGAACTCTACATGACAGCTTTGGAGTCAGTTAAAACTGGGAGGGAATGCAAAAGTGCAGTCTAGGGGCTAGGTGGAAGTTGAATAAGGGAAGCCATAAATTAGAATAAGAAAACACTGTTGGTGGGTGAATAGACCAACAGGAGGAAAACTAGTTCTGAGATTAGGTATAGATTAACATCAAAAGGAGTGTTCATAGTATGGGCCAGGGTCCCTGAATTGTGGGGAGTGGGAGATGTAATTAGAGGTGGAGACTCACGTAGGAAGATTAGGTGCTTCGGATAGGCTGTAACCTCTATAATACTCAGCCAATGGGGAAACAGGGAAAGGAAATCTGAATGGGGAATGGGGAATAAAAAGGTGTGCATCTGTCAAAACGTGTGCTCTCACATGCGTGTTCTCACACATGTGGGGTGCCCAGCCTTCCCAGGTCATTAATAAAGCTTCTTTCTGATTCAACAATGGCTTTGTGGAATTCATGATATAGATAACATCACCAACCCCCTGCTCCCCCATCCCCCAAAATAAAAAACAACCCAACCTAATACCCTGCCTGGGGAAAGGAATACCCTGATGGTTGACACAGGTGTGGAGCTGAGTGAATGACACTGTGTGAGGCTTAGGCTGAAAATAATAAAAATGGCAAATAAATTCTGGTAGCAATTTTTAGACAAAACTGCCTAACCTCTTTGTTTCAGGCACCTGGACAAGCCACAAAAAGGACAAAATCCCAAAAATCAAAAGGGGATATCCTGAAGCCTCACGTGTACCCATGCTGAAAGACTAGAAATGTGCATTCAAATAATGCTTTACCTAAGTCTCTATCCCTAATAATGCCAGGATCATAAACATCCACACTTTCCTTAACCACCCATATAAATATTCCACTATAGGGCAATGCTTCATTATGGCATAGAAATAAATCTTGATTTCTCAGAAGTAGAAAGGCTTAGAGTAAGCCTATGAAAGGCTCATCATCATTCAGCCAGTCATCATTTGATTTTTTTCTAACCCCAGTAACTTATGTAGACCATCCACTAAGGCCCAAAAAAAACCCAAAACCAAAACACCAATTTATTATTTGATCATTTTCAGTACTTCCACCTAGACTGTGCTCTGCCAGCATAACCCTGAATAATCTAGAGACACCTTTATGCCATAAGGATTTTAGAGGAGGAATTTTATATGAGAAGCTTTGGGGGATGGAGAGCTTAAAATCTAGCGAACAATATGCACAATAACTAAAACATGTAAATAAAAAAAAATAGTAAGCTACATATAGATTAAATATCATGACCAATCTTGGTTCTAGGATTCATCATGAAATGTACTTTCATTCTATCAGAAAGACAGGGGAAGAGTATGGAACGTCATAAAGTCCGTCAGTCATTCAATCAATTGGTTTTGCTCAATCACTTTTGTTACAAAAGAGGGTTCTATGGACATAAGTAGGTATTGGGAATTATCTGTGATGTTAAAAAAAAAAAAAAAAAGGAATTGATACGACTTTTTTTTCCCCCAAGAAGTTTGTTTAAAGAAATCAAATGCAGGGAAGACTATCACTTGCAGAAGCAAGGAATATGAGATGGGGCATTACTCACTCATAGAAGGGAGTCTTTCAGGGCAGGTATGGTTTGCAAAATATGTAAAGTCTTCAGGAAGAAAAGTTGTGGTTTGCAGGAAGGTTTCACTGTGATTCAAGTCAAGAGGATAATCTGTGAGGGAAGGAGGGTTGGGGAAAAAAAAAAGAAGCAGCAAATTCAGATGAGAAACTTTAGTTATCTTGTGGCTTTTTCATACCAACCAAAAGCAAGCTGTTGTCTTTAGGCAGGATTCTAGGCAGAAGCAGGCATTTACCCCAACAAATAACATTTATAGTGTATCAGATGACAAAAAAAGTTAGTTAGCTGGTAATGCTTGAAGCAGTTTTAAACATACTCAACACCTGTATAGCAATAAATGTCAGTCACCTATAGGACAGGATAACACCAATCCTGCCAGTCACTATTTTCCATTTATTTCTTAAAGTGTCTCTTGTCCACAGGCTGTTATTTTGTTTTGTTTTGTTTTTGAAGATTCAGCTTAATTTCTTTGGAATTCTGAACCTTATCATTACATGAAAAATAAATGGCTGCTTGACTTTCCTTCTAGCCCTGTAATTCCAATACCATACTTACAATACAACATGGATGTGAGGAGAAGTACAAGGAAGAAATCCTCATCATTAAGCATCTGACCTGCAACTGAACTCCCACCCCCACCACAATAAATGTGCTGTATTGCCCAATCAGACTGGGAGCTCCTTGAGAAAAGGTACTGTCTTATTTTTTTTCTATTTGTATTCCTAGCATTCAGCAAAGTACTTCACATATGATAAGCGTGTAGTAAATTTTGATTCATTCATTCACTCACTCACTAGGCCTAAAGGCTACCTTCTTTGTGAAGCTTACACCAATAGTCTCCAGCAGAAATGACCTTTTTTCCTTCAGGCTTTGCATGACATTTTTTGGTTTCTCTCTTAAATGCTTACTTTTTATTTTGCATTATAGATACAGGTTTAAGGTACAGTTGTCTTGCTAGGCTATATGCTGTGTCTTATTTATCTCGATATTCCCTGGCCAGCCCCAGCACAGGGCCTGCACAGTGAGGTGCTTTAAAAGCATTTGTTAATTCTGACAAAAGGGTACCAGTTTATTTCAACTCACCACTACCTACTTCACAAGTGCTGGGGGGAGAGGGAAATTTAAAGGAGAACCTACTTGTGGAGAATTTTAGTAGGGACAAGTTAGAGGAACCAGGGGAACTCTATACCCCTTATTACATTTAACAACTTTCCTGGGACAGCAAAGCAGCACCTGGCCCAGAGACCAGCATTTATTCCAAACTAACAGATAATTACCATACAAAGTAGCAAGCAACCCTGAAAGGAAAGGAAGGACTGTTTGCACACCATCCTCTCAACAATCTTTAGTCATCATATCCTAGAGTCCTAGGTCATAAAGTTCATAGTCCACATAATAAACTCCCAACTCCAACTACTACTTCAATAGATTAGATAAAAGAATAAGCAAAAACAGACATGTTAATTGATTTTGTGATTCATGCTTACAACATTTATTTTTTAAAATTCAATTCTGTTCAAACATTAAGCTTTTAAAGTGAGAGAGGAAAAAAAATAAAGATCCTTAGTCTCTTCCTCCAAGGACCTTGCAATAATTCACATTTCTATTAGTGCTTCCTTTCCCCCTACTTACCCTGTAAAGTATATAATATAAGTTGTTATTATCGTCATCTCTATTTTATTGAGCAGAAACTAACTCAGAGAAAGGTGAAGTGACTGGGCTAGGGCTACCCAGTCGGGATCCTAGCCCCGGTCTCTGCTGACTTCACAACACCGTAATGCTGCCTCCCAATGGAGTAGGGAGTGAGGCGACGTGCAGCAAGACGGGAGAAAGAGAGCCAGCCTCAGGAGTCAGGGCAACCTGAATTCAAGTTCCAGCTCCTACACACATTGACTATTTAGCTCAGGGCAAGCCAGAACCTCTCAGTGCCCCAGGCAACTCCCTAAAACTATAAAATATTGCACAACAGGTCCGGATATGCTTCAGTAGGGCAAATTTCCTCACTGGGGAGCTGTCTACAACAAAAGATGAAGCCGCAGGTGTGGACCTCAGGCCTACAGGATTGCATCAGCCTCATCAGTACCCGAAGTACCCTTTGCCCCTTGGGTTAGAAGAGTAGAGGGCAGAGCAAAGAACACACACACACACACACACACACACACACACACAGAGCAAAGAAGACAGACAGACACACACAGACACACACACACCCTCCCCCCCCTCCAATCTTCCTTTGGTGTGCTGTCTTCCCCAGTTCCAAGGTGACGTCCCTGAGGGCAGGGACTGTTTTCCTTTTTTATTTTTGTTTTACCCGCACTTAGCACAGTACCTGGCACATAGTAGGAGCTTAATGTTTCCTGATTGCTTGGACAAAAAAAAAATTAGGGAAAACAAGACAAAGATAAAGAGAATACAAATTAAAATATGGTAAGTGAGAAGAGTACAAAGTGCAAGGCAACCATGTGAGGGAGAGATCAGAGAGAACAGAGAAGTCTTTACGGATTTAATAAAAACTTCGGAGGTAGTTTTCTTGAGAAGGAAATAAAATTGCTATAATTATATTTTGCTTATATTAGACAAACAAAACATCTAACACTAAAAACCAAAGTGGTGAACATTCCTCATGAACAAATTAATCAACAGAAGACAGTGGTTTCAAAGCTTCAGAGCTATAACCTACAGGAAGTAGAAAAACTGCCACAATTTTTCTCAAGAACTGACCGGTAGTTAATGCACCTACAGCTTTGGGGGTGGATTTTAGATAAAAATCCCTGTATTGAAAGTCTACTTTGGACAAAATCTTTCATGTTGGAAGGAGCCCTTTGAGGACAGCTAATCTACGAAGCCCTTCTACTGGGCAGCTGCATCCTTAGACAGTTGTCCAGGCTCTGCTTCAAGTCTACCAGTTACAGACTTCTCTCCCCAAAGTGGCATGTGAATTGGTAAATGGCATTTAATAGCTAAGAAGGTCCTTATGTTGAGGTAACATCTGCCCTCCTGAAACCCTTACTGGTCCTAGGCTCACCCCACTAGGACAAAGAAGAACAAGGCTAATTTCACTCTCCTCTAAATCCTCCATATGAATCCTTCCCACATGCTACTAACTCTTCTGAAGGATTGAGGGGGAGGAAGAATTAAGTGTTCATTGATTGCATAGTAAAGTACATGGTTAATTGGTGGCAGGCCTACACACCTCCCACTCCAGCAGCAAAAGTGTCAGGGAATTAAAAATGAGACTTCAGTTACATATGCTCAAAGCAGCACTTATCTTTGTATCTGCAGGCCCAGCTACCTAGAACACAGTAAGACCTTAATAAATTATCTGTTGATGAATTTTTAAAATCAGCTCCCTACTTCTCTTTGGCAGCATCTTGAATTTACTACGTGGGCAACCTTCTGAAAGAGGACAAGATTTCTGAACTTCTAGGCCAGGTTCTTCTTTTTCCACCAAATCTAATTCCTTTCAAAACATGACATGTTTTCCCCCAAGAAAGGCAAAAAGTAGTTGTTTCTGAATTTACAAAGTATTGAGAAGATGTATCCTCATCTAAAGAACCACACAGATATTAACACCACGTGGCTAATATTAATATCTTTACATACACAGCTGTTCCTCACTCAACCCCACTACACATCAAGACTCTGCCTTTCTTGAATTTACTTCCTCCCAGGATATCATGAAATAAATCTGCTTTGGCAACTATTCCTTCTAGTATTTTACTTAAAACAAGAGACAGAGGTCAATGGGTTATAGCAAATGATGATTCAAAGACCACCATCTCTCCTCGGACCCCAAAAGAGAGAGACCAAGGCCCTAACCCAAGAGCCTTGAAAATAGCAGTGTTCCCTAAACTATCAGATTTACTTGCCATCACTGAGGAAAGAAATCATTGTGGAGAAGGGGCCTACCTTTCTTATTACCACAACCACCACCATCACCATCACCAACTGATGACTAACTGCCATCAACAAGCAGATAGGCACAAGAGCCCTAGGTTTAGTAGCACTCCTTCCCCTCAGACCACTGGTCCTGCTTCCAGACCTACGCCCACAGCCATAATTTGGGAAAGCAACTCCTGTGAAGAGGAAGCCGGCCATTCTCATCAACTTCCAACCAGCTGTCTTTCACAAGTCTGGAAGTCATCTGAAGCTAGGAGGGCATCCTGAGGGGCAGACAGGAGGCAGCAAGTGCCAGGCAAGTCCAACTACCACCAACATCTTAACTACCAATCTCCCTTTGGACTATGACAGAGATAACCCAGGATCCTGTACCCAAAAGACTTTGGAAAGGCAATACTTCCAGCCCAGTATCTGCAGCCATCATCCCGGGATGCACTCCTTATGGAAATGCAGCCTGGCAACTGCTCCCACAGGTAGCTTCTATAGCCACATTTACTGAAGACCCAGAAAAGAGTTCACACCAAAGTCCTTGGCACTGTCAAATGGTCCACTGTCAGAAAGTGTTATGATTTTATCAGTGGAAATTACATTATAGAAGCATTAACATCTGCTTTGCTGCTGTATCCTATGGAACATGGATCTTTTCTGTCTAACTTGCAGCTCAAACCTTCCAGAGGTATTGTCTCCCCAATTTGGATGTCTTTTGAGTGTGTCTTATTTCCCTTTCTGTATCCTGAATATTTAGGCATAGTGCTTCACACTTGTAAGTGCTTAACAAATTACCAATTTATTAATTAATTCATTCAAAAAACCTCTTTATCCAAAAGCAAACGATTTCATTGCAGAATAAAATGCCAAAAGATTAAGAACCATAAAATGTCAGAGATGGAAGGAACTAGAGAGCATCTAGCTCAAATCCCTTAATTTTAAAGGGAAAAAATGAGGAAAATTAGTCATAGAAAGTAGGGAAAGTGACTTGGCCAAGGTTAAGTAGTTCATTAGTGCCCCAAGAACTGCACCTAGAACCCAGGGCTCCTGATCCTTAATTCACTGCTCTTCCCATTAGCAGATATTTAACTGCCCTAATGACATTTAAAAAAGACAGTCTGATAATCTAAAAGTAAGTTAATGGAAGACAATAAAAAGTTATCGGGAACAGTAAAAAGCAATTGGTAAGTAAAGACAAGAAGAAG